CCGAAAGTATTCGCTCAAAGACTGCAAACCTTAAGTCCGTTAATAAAGACATTGAATTGGAAGATGTGGTCAATGAGATGGCCATTGAATTCTGTAGACTTCATGTATAATAGATATAATTAGAGATGATATGAATTGCTCTGCAAGAAACACATATCCGAATGCTTTCATAGCTGTAATGCATTGTAATTTACAATTTGTAAAGCATTACAATACATGCATTACAGTTTAAAGAGATATGTGTTTGTTGCACACAGCAATTCATATACTATCAATTGATCACTTGAGCACTTCCAGGGAAAAGACATGAGTTCTGGTTATATGCAACTAATGGCTGACGAAACAAACTTTATTGGCCTCAAAGACATTGAGAGTACATTCAGGAGTTGGCAATGGATTTATGGAAAGACTCCCAGATTTACAGTTACTAAACAATTTGTTTGGAAAGGCATTGCTTTTAGTGTCGAACTACAGGTCTTTCATGGATTGATCGAAAAATTAAGTTTAACTAAATTTCACACTAATTTTGATTTAAAAGGAATTCCTTTTACTCAACATTCTGTTTCTCAACGTCTCAAACAAACTCTATCTCACTCTCAATCTAATCATTTTTTCGACAAGTTTTTAAGCCATTGTATTATTGATTGTTTACAACAAACTCTTTGAGAGAGAGAAAGAAAGAAAGAGAGAGAGAGAGAGAATGTTTTTGGATAAGATTTAAAATTGAATTAATTGTTTAAAATTAGCATAACATCCGAAACATTAGATTCCAATGATTAGAAACACTTGGCGTTTAGTTTACAACATGTAGTGAACTATAAATTATAGACTATAATTCAAAGTTAGCAGTGATTGCTAAACATTTGCTTTAATTAAACGCTGCAATCAATTATTAAATGGAAAATATTTTATACGATTAAAACACATCAAAGACTTGCGTCGATTAATTAAACGGTTGATAATAAAAATATTTATAGACAAAAGTGATTGTATATAATATGTATTTATTATTATAAATTAAAATTATAAACACATATAATTACAATTAAATATTTTGATTTCATTTTTTGATTATTTGTTTTTATTTAAATAGTTTAATGTAATTATTATATAAAATCTGTTTTGTAATGATATGTGAATCACATTAAGAAACAAATTGACTATAAAATTGTTTAATTTTTAAAACAATTTGTAGTTTTGTATTAATTGTTAAAATTGTTTTTGACATTTATTGAAAGTCAAAGCAAATAATTTAATAAAAATTGTTATCAAATTGAGATTTTATGAACATTACATTGCAGTACATTATTTACAAGGGCTTGGATTACAAACGATTCATTTGATATATAATCATAATTATTGCAAAATATAAAGTAAATGAAAATCTATTTAAAATAAATTTAGTATTAAATAAAATTAATTTTGTAAACATTGTAAAAGGAAATTAAATGGGAATGGATTAAAAGTAGTGATCAATTGTTTTAACACACACTAATAAATGGGTTGCTTTTATATTCATATTACTTATGAATTGTAAGTTATGATAGATATGTATATAATATAATCGATCGTTTCATCACTTCTACGATATTAATGTAGTAATTATTGTTCACAATATCTGATTAAATATATAAGGAAATACAGAATAGAAATGAAAGCACTGTAAGCACTAAAACCCTTCATATTTGCATTCAATCAATGGCTTATTTGTACTGCATTTACAAATATTCATCCATTTACTAAAAAACCTTTTAAGCAATTAAAATAATTATTAATTAATCTAAAGCCTTAAATATAGTGAAAAACTAAATACAATTGCAAGTAACTAGAGATGAAGTGTTGACTAATGAAGCGATCAATTGATGGTCTAATGGTAGGCATCATTCTTGAGAGAATACATGTCAATCAAGATCTCCTGAAGAAG